CTGTATGAATTGGATGCATTGAGAATGAAATGTGAGGAGTAATGGGTAAAGAAATGATGACTTGGTTTTCAAAGATTAGGACAAGGAGAAAATCGCTGATAGCAAGAAAAGCGGGGCACTGGGTAGGAACGACCTAGCTGCTCTGTCGAAATGGCCTTAACCCTTCAAAAACGATCTAGCGTTAGTAAGGTCAACGGCACGAGATTAAGAAACGTGGATCTATTTTATAATATCTTACATGTATGTAGTTGATAGCTTAGGGTAGAATTCTCCTTACCTTCAAGTGGTTGCTAGGAGGAGCATGACTAGCGGCCTTGACTAGCTAGGAGGAAGAACCAAGTTGGAGTGGCGAGAGGAAAGGGGAGGCAGAAAAAAGGTCGATACAAACCCTTGTGCTGATTCCGACGCGTCGAAATTTGGATGATTTGTTAAAATGAGATATGCCTTCACCAGATTTAGTCCAGTTTTTAGAATGATAGAGGTCAATCGGAGGGTCTTGTGATCGAATCCTACTTGTGTATTTTTCGAGCAAAGTTCAATTAGCTTGAACTACACTAACTTCAACTAGTTACTACTTCCTTACAAATTACCACTAGTGGTACGAAATAATGAATGTAGATATGCAAAACGCTTCGCAACCCTACGACGACTTCGTCGCCTCTTGTTTTGTTTTTTTTCCTAAACCATCTAGTTCATAAAGGTCATCTGCAGAGTGACGGGAGTGACTATAGACTATAGCGAGAACAGGGTGAAGGTTTGGATGACGTGGCTGCTGAGCTGATGTGAATAACCAATCACAGGCTGTTGCGGCCCCCAAAAGTATTCCATTCTCGCTGCTTTGCTGACGAAAGGCTGGCGAAGGTCGCTAACCTCGTGCACCACTACTCTTCTCCGTAACGCCAGGGAAAGCGGCGAAGCAAGGAGGAGCGGAGGCCAGTACGCCGTCGTTTTCCGCGGCAGTATCTGAGCGACGTTGATGATTGGTACAACCAGGCATGTGAAATGTCGCAAGTGTGTGAGATGGCGCGGCACTTTCAAGGGCGGTCTGGTGAGGCCTAAGCGCATTTTCCCCATTTCATGGGGGAGTCTCCAGGCGTACGGGGAGCGGGGAGGGAATCTTTCCCCGCCTATGCGCGCTTTCCCTAGCACTTGTGCGAGCGCGACCAGTGCCAACCACGTGGTCAGATACACTGCCCACAGGGGTGAGGGAGTCAATTGTGAACCGTGATGCGTGCAAGTGCCCAGCCCAGCCCACAGCACCATCATGGACCTTGGAGAAATATGGAAGCCCTAAATTACTCTTTTCACTATCACTCTAACAAGTGCAGTGAAGTAGTGACACTAACAAGTGGAATCAGGATCGCTTCGTGACACTTAGTGATCACGCGTTAATTTTGGTTAGCTTCTCGCCATGTGAGCACCTCACAGCCTTCGGAGACTATTGATGCCATGGATCGCGGCTCAGCTGCCGCTGATCCGTTTAGGATCGAGATAAGCTATGATGATCTGTTCCCCCACATAGTCTACCTGAACGACCTGAGACACGATTCGGACAAGGTGAAGGATGGATCAGCGGCGTCGGGTGATTCGGGACTTGTCTCCAAATGGAGAATGAAGGATCGGGTACGATTTACTGTTTCGCCATTGGGTCAACGGTTTTCGCGCCAGAAACGCTCTATCAACGCTTTAGTTCTTTAATCGCGGATACTAACTGGTGATCCTTCCGGCGTTGGGGGTGCTGCGAGCTTGAGCGAGTTTCGCTGCTGACGATAGGTGATAGCTCCACATTGGCGATACATGGTAACATCGGCTGGCGACACTTGGTAGCTTTCACTGGCGAAACATGGTAACTCTAACAGGCGAATCATGGTAGCTTTGACTGGCAACATGGTAACTTTTGCCGGCGAATCATGGTAGTTGGCGAAACATGTTTACCGTCCACAGAAAATCGACGTTTTCATAGCTAGCCAACTGTTCCTTACGCGATGTGATTATGCAGAACTTACCGGCAACGCCATTTGTCGCTTGCAGTCTAGGCTACGGCTTGTCAATCAATGATGGTGTAGCTTCTAACCAACCACAGGTTGGGTTATTGCGATTAGGTTCAAAAAGAGAAGATGATTAAGTCTTAATATTCTGTTCACTTCCTTCTTCCCTCTCTTCCTTCCCCATCTTCCCGCGGAGCTGAATTCCAGTCTCTGCTGTAAATTGACCCCGTGATCATCGATCCCGTCCCCTGCTCCCATTCCCAAATCGACTCCCTCCTTCCTGATCCTTACCTCTCATCGCTTCACCTTTCCTTTTCTTCCTCCTCTCCACTTCCCTGTCCGTCGTTCCCCTCCTCGTCCCCCCTCTCGCGCCCCCCACACCTCCCCCCCCCTTCGCCCGGCCCCCCTACACCTTCACTCCCCCCCGCACAGATTAAGACGATCAGCGTGGCCATCGTGCTGTGTCTCAAAACTGGCGTGTACCCCCCTGACGAGTGATCTCCCATCCCCGTTCCCGCTCTGCGTTCTCCCCAATCCCCTCCCTCTTCCCTCCCCTGCCTCTCCCGCAGATGAAGACGAGCAGCGTGGCCATCGTGCTGTGTCTCAACATCGGAGTGGACCCCCCTGACGTCATCAAGATCTCGCCATGCGCGCGAGTCGAGTGCTGGATCGGTCAGTGCCGTGCCATGCTGCTGCCTCTTTCCAATCCTCTTCCTCTCTCAGCAATCGCGTTTCCCGTCTCTGGACGTGATTGGGAGGATTCTTCATCTCTTTGTCTTATCCACGCATTACCATGCTCTTTGCCCGTCCACTCTACACTGTCTGCCCTCCACCATTCCAACCTTCCATCAAGACAACCCCACGTTGTTTGCCCTTCCATTCCCCTCGCCCCCCACATCTCTTCCATCCACCTGCAGATCCCTTTTCAATGCAAGCACAGAAGGCCCTGGATACCATTGGGAAGAACCTTCAAGCGCAGTACGAGCGCTGGCAACCCAAGGTGTGGTGTGGTAACCAGCCTCGATTAAGGTGTGGTAACCAGCCGTGATCCATGGTGATGTATGTAACAAAGCCGTGATGATAAGCTGCAATCAACCTGTGGCAACTGCTCGTAATTATCATGTGATAACTGGCCATGAATAGCGAGCGGTGACGAATTAACCATAAGGGGTACATTTCATGCATTGCATCACATGTCCCTTCCTTCTTCCCCGCTCCAACTCTGTGTCCCCAGGCGCGCTACAAGGTGCGGCAGCTGGGATCCCACAACGGAGGAGGTGTAGAAGCTGTGCCTCACGTGTAATAGTCGTATCCTCTCCATGCATCACAACTCAGGTCCCTTTCTTCCTCCCCATTCCCCTCTCCTGTATGTTCCCCACCCCAGGCGCGCTACAAGGCGCAGCTGGACCCGACGGTGGAGGAGGTGAAGAAGCTGTGTCTCACGTGTGGCAATGCATGCATTGTATATCCCTTCGTCCCTTCCTCCCTTCCCCCCTCTACTTACTCTCCCAGACACGCTACAAGGTGCAGCTGGACCCGACGGTGGAGGAGGTGAAGAAGCTATGTGTGACGTGCCTCCACAACGCCAAGGCGGAGAGGGTGCTATTTCACTACAACGGCCACGGCGTGCCCAAGCCCCCTCTCCCTCACCCCCCCCTCTTCTATGCCCCCCCAGGCGCGCTACAAGGTGCAGCTGGACCCGACAGTGGAAGAAGTGAAGAAGCTGTGCCTGACGTGCCGGCGCAACGCCAAGGCGGAGAGGGTGCTGTTCCACTACAATGGCCACGGCGTGCCCAAGCCCACAGGCAACGGGGAGATCTGGGTGTTCAACAAGACGTACACGCAGTACATCCCGCTGTCCGTGTATGAGCTCGACTCGTGGCTCGCCACGCCCTCCATCTACGTCTTTGACTGCTCCGCTGCCGGCATCATCATCAACGCGTTTGTCGAGGTAGGAAGGGGGCGTGTGCGGTGGTAGGGGTGTGTGGGGAGGTAGGGTACAGTACAGGTACCCTCTTTTCCGTCATTGCATTTGCCAAGGACGGTAGGGGCCTGTCACCTTGTTGACTCACGGGCAACGGGGAGATCTGGGTGTTCAACAAGACATACACACAGTCCATCCCATTGTCTGTCTATGAGCTCGACTCGTGGCTGGCGCCCCTTCCATCTACGTCTTTGACTGCTCTGCTGCCGGCATGATCATCAACGCATTCGTCGAGGTGGGAACCACAGCGTGCCTTAGCCAAGCCCACGGGCAACGGGGAGATCTGGGTGTTAAACAAGACATACACGCAGTACATCCCGCTGTCCGTGTATGAGCTCGACTCGTGGCTCGCCACGCCCTCCATCTATGTGTTTGACTGCTCTGCCGCTGGCATGATCATCAACGCGTTTGTCGAGGTGAGGGGGAGGGGATTGATATGCGTTGGTGGAGGTAGGTACAGTGCATGTATGTATCCGTTTACCTTCAATATGAGAAAATGAGGGGCCCTTTTTTCCTCGCCACGCCCTCCATCTACGTCTTGACTGCTCTGCTGCCGGCATGATCATCAACGCAGTCGTCGAGGTGAGGGGGATTGATATGCGAATGTGGTGGTGCACAGTGCATGCACGTATTCTTTCACCCGTCATGCGACCGCCTTAGTTGAGTGGGGGGCCTGTCTCCTCGCCACACCCTCCATCTACGTCTTTGACCGCTCTGCTGCCGGCATGATCATCAACGCAGTCGTCGAGGTGAGGGGGCCTTCCTGTGTACATGCTCAAGATTCCTTCTCCCACCTTTCCCTCAGTAACCGCCTCCGTTGCCATGTTGGCAACAGTGGCAGCGGCCTCTTTCTGTCCCTCCCTTTACCTTCTTCCTCTTCCTCTCCCCTGCCTCCCCTCCCCACCCAACCTGACTCCCCTTGCCTCCCCTTGCCTCCTCTGCCTCCCCTGCCTCTGTTTTTTTTCCCTTCCGTCACCTTCTTCCTCTTCTGCTCTCCCCCCCTCCCTTCCCCCCTCGCCCCCCTTCAGCGTCCTGACTGGGCCCTAGCAGCTCCGTCCAGCCCCCTCGCGTCCCCAACTGCAGCCAGCAGGGAAGCAGCAGCCGCCACAGCAGCAGCAGCAGCAGCAGCAGCGGGGATGCGCGACCGAATACTGCTGGCAGCGTGCGGCCCAGAGGAGATTCTTCCTCAGCCGCCTGACTTGCCAGCAGACCTCTTCACTGCATGCCTCACCACGCCCATCAAAATCGCTTTGCAGTGGTGAGTGAGTGAGTGTGTTGTGAGACGGCTGCTGAAAGCCCCTGAGGTGATGATTCTTGTGCAGTGCAGTTATACTTTCAGCTTAGCTTAGGTCCCTCTCCTGGAAATTGCTCCGTGCCTCAGCATCGCACCGGCCCCACCTCGCAACTTTCTGTTTGCTCCTTCTTGTCTTCCCCTTCCCCCTCCTTGCCCTCACCAAACCAGGTTCTTTTCTCGCTCTCTGCTCTGAGTCTCGTGCCATCCAGACATCGTGGAGCGCATTCCCGGGCGGCAGAGTGAGCGCAAGACGACTTTACTTTCACCCTCACTCGCTTCCCCTTCCCTACCCAACCCCAGGTTCTGTTCCCGCTCTCTGCTGCGCGACTCCCTCGACCCCGAGATGGTGGAGCGCATTCCCGGGCGGCAGAGTGAGCGCAAGCCAACCTTCCCTGTACCCCCTTTCCTTCTTTCTTCCACCCAACCAGGTTCTGCTCACGCTCGCTCCTGCGCGACTCGCTGGACCCGGAGATGGTGGAGCGCATTCCCGGGCGGCAGAGTGAGCGCAAGACGGCGCTGGGCGAGCTCAACTGGATCTTCACCGCCGTCACCGACACCATCGCCTGGAACACCCTCCCCACGCACCTCTTCCAACGCCTCTTTCGGCAAGACCTGCTCGTTGCGTCGCTGTTCCGGAACTTTCTGCTCGCGGAGAGGGTGATGAGGGCGAGCGGGTGCACGCCCGTGTCGTATCCACGACTCCCACCCACGCACCAGCACCACCTATGGTAAGTGGAGGGGTTTGTGTGTGTGTAAAAGGGTTTTTATTTGTAAGACTTTCTGCTTACAGAGAGGGTGATGAGAGCGAGTGGGTGCACGCCTGTGTCGTACCCGCGTCTTCCACCCACGCACCAGCACCATTTATGGTAAATGGAGGGATGGGTGGGGTGGAGGGGAAAGTTTTTTGGTCGGGCATTGAGGGTGGTATTGTGGGCGGGGCAATTCTGTGACCTGCTGGTCGCGTCGCTGTTCCGGAACTTTCAGCTTGCTGAGAGGGTGATGAGAGCGAGTGGGTGCACGCCTGTGTCGTACCCACGGCTCCCACCCACGCACCAGCATCACCTCTGGTACTGCGGGGGAGGAAGGAGGGAAGGGGGAGAAAGGCATTTCTGTTCCCATTTTGGTGGTATTATGAGTGGGGAATCTCTGTGACCTGCTCGTTGCGTCCCTGTGCCTCCCCTTGCACTTCGCTCCCTTTTCCCACCAAGCACGCATGGGGCATGGCAGCGGAGATGTGTCTTCGCACAGCTGCCATGTGGTTTCTTGAACAAGGCCGACGTTGCTCCCTCCTGCACTGAACCTCTGTCTCCCTGCTCTCCCCCCCTGCTCCCCTCCCCCCAGGCACGCATGGGACATGGCAGCGGAGATGTGTCTTGCACAACTGCCCACGCTCCTTGCAGACCCCAACGCCGAGTTCCAGGCAAGCCAATCTCTCTTCTGTTAGACAAGTCCCCTGTCTGATCAGAAGCACGAGAGTCTCGAGACGTTTCACAACCACACAATCTTGCATTGTACCAGAATCAAGTGCTTGCATTAGCTGCTTTCATTGACCAGTCTCCGAACGACTTTGCAGAGGCTCTGATATCCGTGTCACCCTTTGATTTGATTTGAGTGATCTCTCACATAGAGGATGAAGCAGGGGCGTCCTCACTTAGCTTATTGTCTGCCTGCCCGACCCCTTTTCCTGCGCTTCTCTGCCTGCCAGCCCAGCAGCTTTTTCTCGCAGCAGCTGATGGCGTTTGAGGTGTGGCTGGAGCACGGCAGCGACAAGAAGAGACCCCCGGAGCAACTCCCCATCGTGCTGCAGGTCCGTCCCTCCCTATCGTTCTTTCTCGTGCTCTGTAGACATTTAAACGCTCTCTGTGTGCTTTGCCGTTTGAGGTGTGGCTGGAGCATGGCAGCGACAAGAAGAGACCGCCGGAGCAACTCCCCATCGTGCTGCAGGTCCGTCCTCCTTAGTCTCTCTTTTTCCTGCACAGGATACATCAATATTTCTGCCATGCTTTTGAGTTGACACAGGTGTCAGTCACATCGAATGCTGTTCCACTTCTCGTTCTCCTGCACCTCCTCGCCCTTCTGCCCCTTTCCCCCCCTCCCTCCCCCATCAGGTGCTACTCAGTCACTCGCACAGGCTGCGAGCTCTCGTGCTTCTGGGAAGATTCCTCGACATGGGACCCTGGGCTGTCGACCTGGTGAGTCACACTGCTTCCTCTCGCTCCCTTTCTGGACCCGCCTCCTCCCCTGTCCCCCTCTCTTCTTCCCCAAACTCCCCGCCACCCCCCCGCGCCCTCCCCCTTCTCCTGTCCTCTTCTCACTCCTCATGCACGTTGTGTTGTCATCGATTCAACTCCCAGACGCTCTCAGTAGGTGCTGATTTGAATGTTCATTTACGTGTGCTCAAGCTGATGGAAATCTTTTGAGAATTTGCATTTGTGATTTCCATACTCAGTGCTTGTATTCCTCTACGTGCACAAGCTGCTGGATGTTCTTCGTCATGTTCACATCAATCCCCTCGCTCTCTCCTCTGCACCCATTCCCATAAATATGCAGGCGCTGTCTGTGGGCATATTCCCGTATGTGCTCAAGCTGCTGCAGACGAGTGCAGTGGAGCTGCGGCAGATCCTCGTGTTCATCTGGACCAAGATCCTGGCTCTTGATAAGGTGGGCAGTTATTTAGGAGGTGACACGGCTTAGTGCTTCCATGGCATAGGAGCAGAGCTGTGTGAGCTTTTTCAGTCCAGATCCTCGTATTTGGTTCGGTACAGGCTGCTATGGTGACACACTGCCGCATGTATATTTGAATTTCAACAAGTGCCTGGACGGACTCTCACGAGCCCTACTCCTCCGACTCCAGGAAGCGAGTAGGGGACTGCTGCTGACCCCCTCTGCGCTCTCCGTTGCCCCTCTCTTTCCCTATGCCTCTCTCCCTTCTTTCCAGACATGCCAGGTGGATCTGGTGAGGGATGGCGGCCACATGTATTTCATCAAGTGCCTTGAGACCCACGAGCCATACTCCTCCGACCCCAGGGAGCGAGCCACAGTGGCTTTTCAGCGAGCCATGGCTGCGTTTGTGCTTGCGCTCATATGCGATGGTCATCCCAAGGGGCACCAAGCGTGCCTGCAGGTGGGCTGCTGCTACCCTAAGTGATTTGACTTGAAATGGGTTGCTGCTATTGCAGGTAGTTTGATTTGAAGCGACTCGATTTGCTGGTACAGGGCTGCTGGTGCAAGCTCTTAACCCTCTCTTCCCATTCCCCTTTGCTCCACCCTTCCCCCAGGCGGGACTCATCCCTCTCTGCCTGATGCACATCCAAGCTGCGCCTCCAGCAGAGCCACTGCTGCTGCAATGGCTGTGCCTGTGTGTGGGCAAGCTGTGGGGGGGAGCGCCAGAGGCACAAGCAGCGGCATTGGCTCAGCATCGCGCCCCTCAGATCCTTTCCCCGTTACTGTCAGAGCCACAGCCAGAGGTGAGAGTATGGTGTTTAGAAAGTTTTCATTGGAACATTCGTGGCGGGCACGGGAACATTCGTTCAAGGGGTCACAAATTTCAGGGTCAACAGCAGCAGGCAGAGCAAGGGAGGCGTGACAGGCAGGAGGAGGATGCGGGGCAGAGGCCTGAGGAAATGGAAGTGTACGACGTGATTGACTTGACGTTGGAGAACGACGAGGGCATGCTTGTCCATTCTTTTGATCATGTACAGCTCTCGCCTGGGGATGGAGAAGAAGCAGAAAGAGGGAGAGGGAGTGGAGGATGAGAGCCGGAATTGGGAGGAGATGCAGGAGAAGATAGAAAAGAAAGAGAGCGGGGAGGTGAAGAAAATGCAAGGAGTTTTCGGGCTAAGCGCCTGATGTCCTGTGTGTCTGGGTGATTGCAGGAAGTAGAGGTTTTGGGGTTGTGGACATGTATTCTGCAAGTGCTGTACTAGAAAAGCTTTTCAGAGGGCTGCAGAGGAAGCCTTTCTAATGCAGTGCTTGCAGAATACATGCCCACAACCCAAAAACCTATCCTTCCTACAATCTCCCAGACACACAGGACACCGCAGGCGCTTAGCCCGAAAGCTCCTTGCATTTCTTTCACCTCCCCCCTCTCCTTCCTTTTAATCCTCTCCTCCATTTCCTCACAATCCCGCACCCCGCTCCCTCTTTCTGCTCCCTCACCATCCCCAGACGACAGCTGTACAATATCAGAAAAATGGACAAGTATGTCCTCGTCCTTCTCCAGCGTCAAGTCAATCACGTCGTGCACTTCCGAACCACAGCCACAAGTAGCATAGATGCGTTGATTCACATTGCTGTCTGTGGAGGGGTCTCACAATCTCCCCCTCTGTCTCCCCGTCCTTTGCCCCCTTGTTCCATATTCCACCTACCAGGTCCGAGCAGCAGCAACATATGCCCTGGGCGCTTTGATCCACATCGCTTCGGAATCACAGCCGGGGGAAGGGACAGCAGCAGGAGTAGGAGTAGGGGTGGGAGTAGGAGCAGCAGCAACAGGAGGAGGTTCAGCTGCAGGTGCAGGAGCTGGTGTTGGGGGGGTTCTAGGGGAGGGGCCATCTGCCACAGCAGGAGGAGCAGTGGGGGGTGCAGCAGCAAGAACACCGGGTTCAGAAGGCGGGTCAGCAGTAGGAGGAGCAGCAGGAGGAGTATCAGGAGCAGCAGCAGGAGGAGCTGGGACAGGAGGAGCAGCAGGAGGAGTAGGAGCACAGGGAGCAGCAGGTGCAGGCGGAAGCAGTGCAGGTTTATCTGGGGTAGGGTCAGCTGGGGCGGAGTGGAGGGAGGAACAAAGATTAGCAGCAGAGAGAGGGGTGCTGCAGGTGTTACTTAAAGTGCTGAATGATGGGAGCCCCATGGTGAGGAAAGAGCTTGCTATAGCACTGGCTAGAATAGCCCACGGACATCGCCGCCCTTTTCGGCTCGCTGCGGCGTCTTATCTGTGCCGCCCGTCGCTCGTGGCCGGCAGCGCAGCCGGCATGGGTATGGGGTTTGGCAGATCCGGTTCAGAATTGGACAGGCTCGGTGCAGGGCAAGCAGGTTTGGAAGTGCATGGATTCACAGAGCAAATGACAGGTTTGGGCATAGGTGGAGGAGGTGGGGAAGCAGGAGCAAATGGAGGAGGAGGGATGGCAGGATTGAATGGCACAGGAGGCCTTTCAGGTTCGGGTATGCCCTCGTCAGGTTCGGGTCTCAATCTTCCCTCTCTCGCTCCCCAAGTCAACATGGTAGGGCTTAGGCTCGGCACGGACGGTCGGCTGTACCCCCGGCCAGGTCCGGCAGTGAACGCACCTCTCCCGGTCCTCCAATCCACCGCAGGCTCGGCGGTGGTGGGCCGGATGCTGGCACATTCATTTGACGCAGCAGGCTCAGGAGTAGGCTCGGGAGGTACGGCGGCAGGTTCGGGGAACACAGCAGCCTCGGGAGGGTCAGCTTCGTACTTGAGAGTGTATGAGGAGGAAGGGGAGAGGGATGGTGGGGGGGGAGCAGCAGCAGGAGGGGTAGGAGGGAGCAAAGGACAGGGGGGTGTGGGGAGCAAGGGCACAGGGGCGGCAGCAACTGGGGCAGGCGGTACTGTAGCAGGTACAGGAGGAGGGGCGGGAGGAGGAGGAGAAGCAGGAGAGAGTGGTGTTACAATAATGATACCTCCTTTGGTGAATGGGATTGTTCCTATAGCAGAAGGTGCTTCTGAGAGCGAAGCTTCATCAGGGGAGGACAGAAGTAGGGGCAATGAGGGCCAGCAGCAGTCAGGTGAAAATCCAGGTGGAAGTGGGAATTTGGCCGCGAACCCTCCGTCTACCTCTGCTGCAGCTGCCGCTACAGCTGCTGCTACAGCTGCGGCTACAGCGGCAGTAGCAGAAGCTGCAGCAGTGGCGGTTGCTGCTGCTGTCACCAGTTCTGGATCACCAGTCACAACAATCCCACCCACTCCTCAAAACCCCCTCTTCTCCCTCTCCTCCCCAACCAGCCTCTCAGCTTCGGCGCCGGACCTCTCCTTCCTCCGGGGCGCTGCCGAAGCTGCCAGCGGCTCGCCCGGGAGAGTGCTAGGGATGCCTCCAGGGGATGTGACTGTAAGGGGCGGAAGGCCTGGGTGGCTGGGACAACCCCAAGGCAGGATACCCCCGGGAATGGGTCCAAACGGCGGGCTTATATGGGGGGGATTAGATGTTACAGACAGCGCGACTTACCTGCAGAGTATGATTGCTGTATACACCCTTGCAAGGGACCCTGCCCCGTCTGTATCTAAGATCAGCCGACAGACTCTTGCCCAGATTGGCTCCTCTGTAGCTGCAGCAGCTACTAGTCTCAACGCGGCAGCGGCAGCGGCAGCAGCGGCGGCAGGAGCAGGAGGAGGGGTGGGGGGAGCGGGGCCGGGAGGAGGAGGGATGGGCGGAACTGGGATGGGGTATGACGCGTTTATGATGCCGATGATGGTGCCTGGGATGGGTGCGGTTGGGGGGGGCATGGTAGCAGGGGGGCTTGCTCCGTCTGCTAGCTTCAGCAACCTGACTCGGAGCAGCAGCAGAGATACCGGGACGGTGATAATCACTGGTGCTGGTGCGGCTGCGGCTGGTGGTGGAGCCATTGGCACTCCGAATCTCTCTCTCGCTGCTGCTGCAGCAGTGGGGGCCGCGGGGCCTGTGGGTTTGCCAGGCCTGGGGGGGGTGGGCGGGGGGATGGGGCATCACGGGCTGATGAGTCCTGCCATGAGTCCACGTGTCCCCTCCCCATTGGCTGTTGGGTTGGCTCCTGCGATTACCCGGTCAACTTCATGGGTTGCGCCTGTCAACGGTGAGATGTTACGATTCATTTTTCTTCTTAGGCGTTGCTACTGTTGCCGCTGCTGCTTCTGCTGCCGTTGCCGCCGCAGCCTCATAATGTTGGCATCTATTTTTGCATGCTCACCCTATGACCTACCTCCCTCCCACTCTTCCCCTTGTTTCCTGTCTAGCTCCACACCCAATCGGCAGCTGGCGCCAGCTGGCAGCACCACAGCTCGCCATGTCACCCTCTGCCGCCGCAGCTTCGGGATTCCTCCAAGCCCGGGACCCGTTCGGCCTGGTGGCTCGGGACAGCCTCGGGCTGCCGCCAATGCTGGCAGCAGGTTCGGGAATGCAGGCTCGGGACAGTGGGATGCGGAGGGTAATGACTGCAGTGGATTTCTCGTCGTCCCAGCAGCAGCAGCAACAGCAGCAGCAGCAGAGGCAGATGGGGGTGATGGGGAATGGGGAGATCCTTGCAGGAGTGCATGTGCTGTCATCTGTCACAGGAGGAGGAGGGTACCCGCCCTTGAGACCAAATGTGAGTGTGCACCCTAAAACCTAAACCCCTCGTCTTTTGATTTGCCTCAAAAGGGATGGGGAGTGGGAAGATTCTTGCAGGGGTGCATGTGCTGTCATCTGTCACGGGAGGAGGAGGGTACCCACCCTTAAGACCAAACGTGAGTGGGTATGGGACGTGTTGACTTGACATCTGTACTTGCTGCCGTTTTTTTTCTTCTTCTTCTTATTCTTTCTTTCTTTCTTTTCTTTTTACGGCTGCATGGCATGGCCATGTTGTTTAAGTGCTTGCTGTGTTGATTCAGGTCTCCTATCTCTGTCTCTCTGTCCGTCACCCCTTCACCCCTTTGTCCATGCAGCACGCAGCTGTCTCGTCAGACGCCATTGCGCACCCATCCAACCCACCTGCACTTACAACCCCTGCTAGTCGCCCTCAAAACCCTAACTCCGCTTCCTCTCAACCTTCTACTACGAGTGCTGCCCCTGCTGCTGCCCCTGCTGCTGCGCCTGCTGCCACCTCTGCCACTGCCCCCTCTGGTGCTGGTACAGCCGCGGGTACATTGCCTGCTGTGGGATATTCAAGCATCCCGAATCCTGCTGCTGCTGCTGGCTCCAATGCGACAAGCTCTACAGGCACAGCCGGTGGGCCCAGTGGGCTAGGGACCCCCCCGGCCCTCTCCGGCCCTCTCTCGGCCTCTCTCTCCGCGTCGCTCCTGGACCCGTTTCTGTCGCTGGATGCAGCGGCAGCGGCGCAGGCGAAGCCGGTGCCCAAGTCGGGGCTGTATGCGTGGAGCTGTGGGCACTTGTCGCGGCCGCTGCTGGAGGCGGTGTGTGACGCCGAGGCTGAGACGAGGCGTGCGGCGAGAGAGAAGCGAGCGGTTGAGGGTGTGGCAGAATGCCGGCGAGCCAGTGAGTGGGCTGGGTGGTGAGGGGGGGGGGGGGTGTTGATGCGTGTGTGGGATGGGAATGAGGGGTCGGAGGCCGAGACGAGGCACGCGGCCCGAGAGAAGAGAGCCGTGGAGGGAGTGTCGGAGTGTCGGCGTGCAACGCAAGTGAGTGGGGGTGGGGAGGGAGAGGAAGAGGGAGGCTAGGGTGGGTGGGTGACCGAAATCATTTTTGATGTGCCTCAATCAAAAGAGGGAGGCTAGGGTGGGTGGGTGACCGAAATCTGTGCCTTGCTATGTGGGCTGATGCAGAGCTTCGATACATGAGCATCAGTGCATGAGTCAGACATGATGACAGAGGCCGTGCACATGCCCCATTTTCCTGCCGGCCTTCCCACTGTTCCCCACCCTGTTCTCTCTCCCACGCCCAATGCTTGTCCTCCACCCCCCTACTTTCCATCCCCACTCCTTTGTGTGTGCAGCGGTGAGCAAGGTGAGCGATCAGATCGCCAGCTTTGACACCGAGTCTGACATGATGACAGAGGCCGTGCTCCTGCACCCCTTCCTGCCACTCGTGTGCATTGCGGACGAGAACGAGGTTGTGAGGTGAGTAGCGTGGACACGACTTTTTGTTGTTGTTGTTGTTGTTTTTTTTTCTTCTTTTTTTTTTTTTTTTTTTTTTTTTTTTGGTACCTTTGGTTCATATGGTGTGTCTTGGCGCTCATTTTCGTTCACCAATCCATCGCGTCACTCTCTGCTGCCCTCTACCTCAGAATCTGGAACTACGAGGAGGGACTGACAGTGAGCACGTTTGACAACCAGACGGGAGGTGGAGGTGGGGCGGACAGGCACAAGGGAGTGAGCCAGCTGTGTCTGCTCAACGAGCTAGACGACACTCTATTGCTCGTCGCCTCCAGTAAGTATTTTCCTTCCACTCGAATCCTCTTGAATGGTCCTTGCATTACTTATGGGGTGGTACAAAGGAAGATGCAAACACACAAGCTAAGCAAGCACGCAAACCGGTATCCTATCTACCTCATATCCCCTACCTACTCCTGCCCCCCCCTCTGTCCGACCCTACTGGTCGAACGGGGGCTCAATCACAAGGTGCAGCTGTCCCTCACTAAGAGGGAGGATGGGACCCCGAAAGCCAAGCTCGTCCGCCACCAAGGCCTCGTGGTCTTGGTGCGGAGGGCATTGGCCTGCGCCCGCTAGAGGCACACGCTCCAGCGCTGGCGGTACTGTGTCAGCTGCTTAGCTGCTTCGTAGGAGGTAGGTGCTGCGTTAAAACGCAGCTTTGCCGCCAGCTCCGCGCATTGCCGCAGGTAAGCCATCACCCCTGGCGAGGGGTAGCCATAAGACTCCACTGCAAGCGCGTGGAACCCCACCCACGCATTCTTGCGAGCATACTTCTCCTTTTTAGCTGCTGCCGCCCTTGCCGCCCATCCAGGAGCTCGGTTGCAATTCTCATCCTGGTAAGACACCGGGTCCGTCACGGTCACGTCGCACATCCACACCTCTTTAGTCAGGGGATGACGGATGGTGACATCCGCCTTTTCCTCTCTCAGTAAGTGTTTTCCTTCCACTCGAATCCTCTCTCTGTCTCTCTCACTCACTCTCTCTAAACAAGGGAGTGAGCCTGCTGTGTCTTCTCAACGAGCTAGACAACCAACACACTGCTGCTCGTTGCCTCCAGTAAGCATTATTTCTCTGGTTGAGCCCTCTCTCTGGCTCACTCTTGCGGCCTCCAGTAAGCATTGTTTCCTATTCACCACGAGATTAGGACGATCAACTTTTTCCTCTAGATAAATCGTCCTAACCTCTCTCTTTTGTCTATCTTCTGTCTTGTATGCTCCATCCTGTATTCTCTGTCCATGTTTTTTCGCTCAGGGGATGGCAGTATGCGTGTGTGGAGGGACTTTGCTCAAAGAGGCAAGCAACGAATAGCCACAGCATGGCAGGCCGTTCAGTCACCCAAATTTGTGTATTCTCCATTCCATGCATGTTTCTCTCTCAGGGGACGGGAGCGTGCGTGTGTGGAGGGACTTTGCGCGGAGAGGCAAGCAACGAATAGCCACAGCATGGCAGGCCGTTCAGTCCCACTCCCACCACCTCTTCTCCTCCTCCTCCTCCTCTTCCCCCACCTCCCTTTCCTCCACTGCCCGTCCTTCCTCCTCCATCCCCTCCTCGTCGGCCTCTCCTTTTTCCACATCTTTATCTTCATCTAATCTACAGTCGCAAGTTACTGATTCTAACATGTCGCATCGGCACCATCAGCAGCAGCACCAGCATCATCCTACTAACCAGCGATTAGACCAGCAGCAGCAGCAGCAGGTTCGGGGCCAGCAGGGGCGGTCCTCCGAGCCTCTTGCCTCGCCTAACAGCTTCGGCAGTAGCTTCGGCGGCGGGTTCGGCAGCAGCTTCGGCAGCAGTGGAAGCAGCAGCAGCACTGGGGGGGGGATGGGAGGGTTGGGTTCTGGTGGTAGTGGGGGGGGAGGAGCAGGGGGAGGTGTGGGAGTGAGAGGGCGAACGGGGGCAGTGGTGGAGTGGCAGCAGCTTATGGGGTACCTGGTAAGATCTCGTTGTGTGTCTCTAGATCGGATGTGTGTGATTCTGATGGGGGAGGTGTGCGGAAGGGAGGTGTGGGGGTGAGAGGGCGAACGGGGGCAGTGGTGGAGTGGTAGCAGCTTATGGGGTACCTGGTAAGATCTCGTTGTGTGTCTCTAGATCGGATGTGTGTGATTCTGATGGGGGAGGTGTGGGGAAGGGAGGTGTGGGGGTGAGAGGGCGAACGGGGGCAGTGGTGGAGTGGCAGCAGCTTATGGGGTACCTGGTAAGATCTCGTTGTGTGTCTCTAGATCGGATGTGTGTGATTCTGATGGGGGAGGTGTGGGGAAGGGAGGTGTGGGGGTGAGAGGGCGAACGGGGGCAGTGGTGGAGTGGCAGCAGCTTATGGGGTACCTGGTAAGATCTCGTTGTGTGTCTCTAGATCGGATGTGTGTGATTCTGATGGGGGAGGTGTGGGGAAGGGAGGTGTGGGGGTGAGAGGGCGAACGGGGGCAGTGGTGGAGTGGCAGCAGCTTATGGGGTACCTGGTAAGATCTCGTTGTGTGTCTCTAGATCGGATGTGTGTGCTTCTGATGGGGGAGGTGTGGGGAAGGGAGGTGTGGGGGTGAGAGGGCGAACGGGGGCAGTGGTGGAATGGCAACAGCTAATGGGGTATCTGGTAAGATCCTGTTGCATGTCCTGGGTTCTGATGTGTGTAACGAGGTGACTTTTGAGTCGACTCAAAAGTCATCTGGTACGATCCTGTTGTATGTGTCCTGGGTTCTGATGTGTGTGGTTGTGATGGGGGAGGCGTGGAGGAGGGAGAGGTGGGGGAGGAGGGGAGGGGGGGGGGGGGGGGAAGAATGAGGGTTTGAAGTCTCTTTAGAATTTTCCGAAGTGACTCGAATGAGGTGAGCCGATTCACAGCCTTTCTCCCTTGCACTGCCATCCCTCCTTCCGCCCATTTCCTCCACCATCTCCACCCACCCTACCATCAGTATGCTTCGGGCGAAATCTCCTCCATCCTCGTGTGGGACCTAGACAGGGAGCTGCTGGCTCACAGTGTGCCCACTGAGTGTGACTCTGCCGTGACGGCTCTGGTGAGTGCTGCTGTGAAGACTGGCGTTGTTGTCCTTGCTGCTGCTGCTGCTGCCCCTAGACTAGGAGCTGCTAGCGCACAGTGTGCCCACTGAGTGCGACTCTGCCGTCGCTGCGCTGGTGAGTGCTGCTGTGAGAGTAAGTTTGTTGGTGCGCCCAGTAACCGTCTGTGTAAATACACACACAGGGAGCTGCTGGCACACAGTGTGCCCACTGGGTGTGACTCTGCTGTCACTGCACTGGTGAGTACTGCATTTGGTGCTGCTGCTGTGATAGGTGTGTTTTGAGTCGACTCAAAACGCATTTGGTGCTGCTGCTGTGATAGGTGTGTTTTGAGTCGACTCAAAACGCATTTGGTGCTGCTGCTGTGATAGGTGTGTTTTGAGTCGACTCAAAACGCATTTGGTGCTGCTGCTGTGATAGGTGTGTTTTGAGTCGACTCAAAACGCATTTGGTGCTGCTGCTGTGATAGGTGTGTTTTGAGTCGACTCAAAACGCATTTGGTGCTGCTGCTGTGATAGGTGTGTTTTGAGTCGACTCAAAACGCATTTGGTGCTGCTGCTGTGATGGTGTGTTTTGAGTCGACTCAAAACGCATTTGGTGCTGCTGCTGTGATAGGTGTGTTTTGAGTCGACTCAAAACGCATTTGGTGCTGCTGCTGTGATAGGTGTGTTTTGAGTCGACTCAAAACGCATTTGGTGCTGCTGCTGTGATAGGTGTGTTTTGAGTCGACTCAAAACGCATTTGGTGCTGCTGCTGTGATAGGTGTGTTTTGAGTCGACTCAAAACGCATTTGGTGCTGCTGCTGTGATAGGTGTGTTTTGAGTCGACTCAAAACGCATTTGGTGCTGCTGCTGTGATAGGTGTTGTGATTCCACATCTTGAATGAAACAAGGTGCTTTGCCTATCATAAGCACACTATCATAAGCACACTATCATAAGCACACTATCATAAGCACACTATCATTAGCACACTATCATAAGCACCTTGTCTCTACACATGTGCCCAGTGTGTGATTGCGGTTCTGCCACTACCACTTCTGTCCTCACCCCACTCTTATCCTTTCTGCCTCCCTCTACCTGACTCTCCCGTCCCAGTCATCATCCGTCATCCGGCCAAGCTACGTGGCAGAGGGGTGTGATGATGGCTTTGTGTGCCAACTTTGTTGCCTCTCATTGCTTTTTCCCCACCCGCCTCCCTCCTCTCCCCCCCTCCCCCTCCCCCCCTCCCCCCTCCTCCCCTCCTCCCCTCCTCCCCTCCCCCCTCCTCCCCGCCCCCCCTCCTCCCCCCCTCCTTCCTCCTCCCTTCCTCCCCGTCCCAGTCATCATCCGTCGTCCAGCCAAGCTATGTGGCAGCAGGGTGTGACGATGGCTCTGTGTGGCTATTTGCAGCCCACGATCCGATTTTCCCCCTTCTCTCTCCCCACTCTCTCAGGGATAATCCGTCATCCAGCCAAGCTACATGGCAGCGGGATGACGACGCCTCTGTTCGGTTGCTTTGCTTCAATTCACTTTTTTCCACACCTTCCTTTCCCCCCCACCCCCTCTCTCCTCCCCCCTCCTCCCCTCCTCCCCATCCCAGGGATCATCTGTTGTCCAGCCAAGCTACGTGGCAGCGGGGTGTGACGACGGCTCTGTTCGGCTATTTGACATTCGCTCGCAACCCCGGGCGCAGTGAGTGCAGTGTGATGCGTTTGTGTGCGGTTCTAGGTGGTTCTGTGCGGCTCTGTGTGGCTCTGTGCAGTTGTGTGCGGCTATTTGACATTCGCTCACAGCCCCGGGCGCAGCGAGTGCAATGCGTGATGTGTGACTTGTGCGGTACTACGTGGTTCTAGGTGGTTCTGTGTGGCTCTTTGCGGTTCTTTAACATTCGCTCGCAGACCCGCCCCGGCTCAGTGAGTCCTGTAAGATGTGCAATGCGCAATGTGTGTTTTTGTGTAATGTAAGTAGTTGTGATGGGCTCTGTGCGGTTCTAAGCGGCTCCGTGCGGCTCTTTGACATTGACGTGGGCTTTGTGGCACAGCCCTGGGCACAGCGATTGCAACCCTGTGGCAGAGTTGCCTGTAAAGCTTGACGTGTGTTCGTTGTCAATATTGACCGATCTGCACTTTGCCTACCTGCCTCCCCACGCCCCTCTCCCCGTGCAGGCTTGTGTGCGGCACGCACCACCACTTGCATCGGGTCGCAGTGACTCTCACCTCTTGAATAAATATCAACATCAACCCCACCTTCCCTCCCCACGCCCCTCTCCCTGTGCAGGCTCGTGTGCGGCACGCACCACCACTCGCATCGGGTCGCGGGAATTGCATTCCACCCCGCCAGCACTTCCGCACCTCAAGTGCGTTATCTTATCAGCAACCGTGTTAAAAGCAGTTCATCTTTAGTCATTTCCACTCTGATGCATCCTGTGCGGTTTAAGCACTCTTGCTTTGAGCGATTTAGTTACTCGCTTCCTGTCCACATATTCTTGTTACCCCCCTTACATAGCCGCTCGAATCGACGTTTTTTTTCGCATTCCTAATAAATAACTTGCCACATATAATGGTTGTCACGTTTTTTTTTTTTTTTTGCGTTCAGATTATCTCTGCTTCAAGTTCTGGCGAGATTGTATTTTTAGATGCCCGAAATCCGGGGCAGCCAATTAGAAGAGTGGAGGCGCATAAGGGGCACCTCACAGCGCTCTCGGTTCACCGGCACCTGCCTGTCATGGCCACGGGCAGCTCAAAACAATTAATCAGAGTGAGTAACGTCATTTGCTGTAGTGCTTCTTGTGATATGCGTCGGAATTTGGCTGCAAACTCCACCCAAAAACCTGAAATTCATTGGTTCTTGTTTCAATCTCAAGATAAACATCAAATTCTTTGTACACATCGAGCATAATCCCTCTTACTCTCCCCTCTCCGTCCCCCCACAGGTGTTCAACATGTCTAGGGATCTCTTGAGTGTTGTCCGCTGCCACAACATGTTTGTTTTGCTCGCCGTTGTAACCCCTCTCCCCATACCACTCCTTTTCCCCCCTTCCCCGCAGGTGTTCAACATGTCTGGGGACCTATTGAGTGTCGTGCGTTACCACAACAGTTTCCTGGGTCAGCGCATCGGCCCTGTCAGTGCGCTGCACTTCCACCCGTACCGACCCCTCCTGGCCGCGGGTGCCACTGACTCCATTGTTTCCATCTATGCGGGGGAGACACACCGCAGCTAGCAGAGGGGTGCAGAGGGGTGTGGTGGTGTGGGGGGTGAGTTCGCTGTGTTTCCACCTGTACAGGCATCTCCTTGCTGCCAGTGCCACTGACTCCATTGCCTCCATCTATGGCGGGGAGACACACCGCAGCTAGCAGAGGGGTGCAGAGGGGTGCGGAGGTGTGGGGTGTCAGCGCACTACTTTCACCCGTACATGCCGCTGCTGGCTGCCGGTGCCACGGATTAGAATGTTTCCATCTATGCTGGGGAAATGCATTGGATCTAGTTGGGGGAGAGAGCCAGATGAGTTAGCAGGGGGTTGGAGAGGTGCGGAGGGGTGCAGAGGGTTGCAGAGGTGTGGCGGCGAAGCAGGGGGCATTGACTCCATTGTCTCCATCTATGCGGGGGAGACACACCGGGAGTTCTCGGTTGCAAGCAAAATAGGAATGTCTCATTATGCTGAGTGAAATGGAGTGGGAGTGGGAGGTGGGAAGATGAAAGAATCGGAGGAAGGTTGTGAGGGAGATGGTCAGGTTGAGAGGTTGTGGAGCAGAGAGTATCAGGTGAAGAATCTACAGGCAGTGATTTAGGCAGGTTACGGTACCAGGTAGAAAATTAGCTGCCAGGAGGAGAGAAACTGCTTGTGTTTCCACCTGTACAGGCTTTTGTGCTTCTTGCCATTGTTACCAAGTTTGTTCACTTCATCTGATGCAGATAGCGAAGCTAACGTATTCTCCCGGACATAACACCCTAGGGTATAGCTAAAAATACAGGGAAAAAATGGGGGGGGGTCTCCTCATAGGAAAAAGATATAATACCCGGGTCTTTACATATGGCATATTTTAGTGTTAGTGTTTTTTTAATTAGTCAATGTGGGTGTTTTGCTGGTCGTTTTAGCATCACTGCCTGAGGCGCGAATGTCAGTTTCGGCCTCGAACTTCATCGCCCTCACGAAAATGCCATGTGACACCTCTCTTGCCACTTGCAACGAAAGATTCACCTGCACGTGGCAACAGAGAAATAGTGGGAGGGGGCAAATCTCGGCAGATTGCCTTTGAATGTACCTCGAAATTTCATTGAGGGAGAAATTCACACGATATTCTTCCGTATTGCAGCTACTCGTTAACGACTATAATAATGAATCCGTAAGAAAAGGGGGGTGTTATAGAAAATCAGCCAAAAAGGGGGGTATAGTAGAAACGAGGTCTATCATAACACCCACCCCGCACAAGCTACCCGGGGGTGTACAATTTGTCAAATGTTGTAGCCTGTAGTGAGGTTTGTCTTAGGGGGTACAGAAGTTAGGGTTTGTCATATGTACCCCAACCAACAGCAATGCAACACTCATTCCTCATTCTGACATGGTATCAGCTAGGTTAGGATCCTGTGGGATCCCGTTCCTCCGTTCTCCGTTCGTACCTCCCGAGCCTGATCCTACCTCTCGTTCGTACCAGTTTCGTAGTTACCGCGCCTAGTACCGAGCCTAGCGTCATCTCCCCCGTCGCGTCACGCCTGTTCCCCCCCCGTCGCGTCACGCCCGTTCCCCCCTGTCACGTCGCGCCCGTTCCCCCCGTCGCGTCGCGCCCGTTCCCCCCGTCGCGTCGCGCCCGTTCCCCCTGTCGCGTCGCGCCCGTTCCCCCCCGTCGCGTCGCGCCCGTTCCCCCCCGTCGCGTCGCGCCTGCCTGTTACCCCCCCCCGTCCCGTCGCCCTGTCCCGTCGCGTCGCCCTGTCCCGTCGCCCTGTCCCGTCGCCCTGTCCCGTCGCGTCGCCCTGTCCTGTCGCGTCGCCCTGCCCTGTCCCGTCGCGTCGCCCTGCCCTGTCCCGTCGCCCTGTCCCGTCGCGTCGCCCTACCCCGTCGCGTCGCCCTGCCCTGTCCCGTCGCCCTGCTCCGTCGCGCCGCCCTGCCCCGTCGCGTCGCCCTGTCCCGTCGCGTCGCCCTGCCCCGTCGCGTCGCCCTGACCTTTCCCCCGTCGCGTCGCCCTCCCTAGGCCCTGGCCTGTCGCCCTTCCTAGGCCCTGGCCCGTCGCCCTACCCTAGGCCCTGGCCCGTTGCCCTACCCTACGTCTTGGCCCGTCGTCCTAGCCCACTCTTCCGCTGCGACTGAGTCCTCTTCCCCCCCCGGTTGTTACTCGCCTGTTCGTTCTCACTATGGCGACTCCGCGAGTTCTTCGTTTCGACGCCGACGGTAGACCCCTTGACTTTTCCGTCTGGCTTCTTCGCGCTCGTCGTCTGTTAGAGAGTCAGGTCCAGGGGGGCGAGACCCTCTGGTCACACGCTACTGGTGACCTCCCCGAGCCCCCCGAGCCTACAGCTTTAGGCCCTGCTCCTGACGATGCTGCTACGGCTCGCTTTGCCCGTCAGCGCGCTGACCGGACGGCTTGGACGTCGCGTGACGCTGCGGCCTGCATCGCACTCAGCAGCCTCCTCCCTGAGTCCGAGGAGGTCCACTTTACTCAGGTTCGCACCGCTGCTGCGTACCTCACTGCGATTAAGGCCCGCTACTCTACTCCCGCTACTGTCTCTCTCGGCCGTCTTTTCCTCCCGTTCCTGTTTCCTGATCTTGCCTCGTTTGAGCGCTCTGCTGACTTGATCGCTCACCTCCGCTCGCTTGACGCTAGTTACCGCGCTGCTTGCACTGAGGCACAGCTTGCACTGCTTCCTCCCCCCATGGCGATTACTGTCTATTTCATCGCCACTAGCCTCCCTGACCGCCTTGCCTCCGTTCGTGACGCGCTTCTGCTGAAGCACCCTAGTGAGCTGACTATCGAGGTCCTTGAGTCTGCACTCAAGGATGTCGAGAGCAACCTTCGTTCGGTAGCTGCCGCCTCTGGTACTGTATCCCCCCCACTCTTCCACGGGTGCACAGTCCCGCAGTTACCCACCTTCACTGCCTCTCTTGCCACTGCCGCTACTGACGCGACTGCGGCTGCTGTTACGACTGCGTCGCGGTCCCGCGGCAGGGGGGGCAAGAAAGGTGGTTCCGGTGGAGGTGGAGGCGGAGGTAGCGGAGGTAGTGGGGGTGCTGTTGCGACTGGCGGTGGTGGGAGTGCAGCGTCTGGAGAGACCCCTCGTGCAGCGGCCGGTGACTCCACTGCACCTGCTGGTGGTAGCGACCCTCGAGCTCGTCAGTCGCCTCCTGTACTGTCGGCCCCGCTAGGTGGAGCAGCGGCGTGGTACCAGGCTCAGCGTCAGCAGCACCTTCAGCAGCAGCAGCAGCCCCTTTCCTCCCAGCAGCCTCAGCAGCAGCAGCGTCAGCAGCTGGCTCCGGGGTCGGGGCTGCGTCAGCCCCAGCGCGGTGCTGCTTACCCTCCCTGCCCCTACCAGGTTCAGACAGGTCCTCGTCGGGGCCACCCTTGTGGCCGCTTTCACCCCCCTGGTCAGTGCTTTGCTCAGCTCACTGACACGGTCCGGTTGACCTACGGGGTTGGCGGTCCTGCTCCTGACTGGCTTCCTCTGGTTCAGCGCTACGGCTCCGCTCTGTGGGGCATGTCTGCTGAGCAGTTAGTTGATCTGATTAGTGCTCCTCATGCTATGTATGCTGTTGTTGACTCTAGTGTTTCTGACTCTGTTTACTCTGGTGTTGTTAGCTTAGGTGCTAGTCTTGCTGAGTTGCCTGTTGCTAGTGTAGGTACTTGTGTAGACTCTAGACCAGCGACTACCTCAGAGGACGCTTCGCTGTCGTTCACACTGGACTCTGGAGCCTCCCACTGCTTCTTTCGGGACAGCACGACACTTACACCACTTCCTGCGCCTGTTTCTGTAGCGTTGGCTGATCCCACTACGGGACCAGTCACTGCACGTCACACTACCACTTTACCGTGTCCTGCTGCTCCCTCCGGGTCTCTCACTGGGTTTCACGTCCCCTCGTTCTCCCGGAACTTGGTGGGCGTGCGACCCCTCGTGAGCCAGCACGTGGGTGTGTGGTTTGAGCCTTCTGGAGAGACTGCGGTGTGTGTTGACGGAGACTCTTACCAGCCTCTTGCTACCTTTACTGCTGAGCCGGGCTCGGGTCTCTACACTCTTCACACTGGCCCGCGTGCGCCGCAGCAGCAGCCGCAGCAGCAGCAGCAGCCGCAGCCGCAGCAGCAGCAGCAGCAGCAGCACCAGCGGCCGCACCAGCAGCCCCCCCTACTGCCACTGCCCCCGGTTCCCCCCCCCGTTCGGGTCCCCGCGTCTCACCAGGTTGCTACGTCCCCCCAGGTGTCTGTGTCGTGTCAGGTTCCTCCGTCTGTTCCAGTCGCTGCGTCGTGCTCCTGCCGGTCGCTTGCCCACCCCACCGTTCTGTGGCACCACCGGATGGGGCACCCGTCCCTTCCACGTCTGCGCGCTATGTCTAGTCAGCGTCTTGTCCTAGGCCTCCCACGTGTCTTGCCGTCGCTGCCGCCTTCGCCTGCGCCGCCGTGTCGTCCCTGCGTCGAGGGTAGGCTGCGCGCCACCCCTCACTCCTCCTCCCTTCGTCCGGCCACCGAGCCTTTTGAGACGCTTCACTTGGACGTCTGGGGCCCAGCCCCTCGTCTAGGCCCTGAGCGTGAGCGTTACTTTCTGGTGGTCGTTGACGACTTCTCCCGCTACACCACAGTGTTCCCTCTGGCGAAGAAGTCTGAGGTGACTTCTACGCTGATCAGGTGGTTGCTCACCACCGAGGACACTCGTGGTCGTCGTGTCAGCTGTCTCCACTCCGACCGTGGGGGTGAGTTTCGCTCCGGCATTCTCGCTGGATTCTGTCGCGAGCAGGGCATTCGTCAGTCCTGGACGCTTCCAGAGTCCCCACAGCAGAATGGGGTTGCTGAGCGCCGCATAGGCCTGGTCATGGAGATCGCCCGCACCTCCCTGACTCACGCCTGTGCCCCCCATTTTCTGTGGCCCTACGCGGTCAGGTACGCCGCGCACCAGCTGAACCTCTGGCCACGTGTCTCTCGACCAGAGGTTTCACCGACCAGTCTTTGGACAGGGTTCCCTGGTGTTGCGTCGCGGTTTCGTGTCTGGGGGTGCTTGGCTCTTGTCCGCGACACCTCCGCGGAC